GTCTTTTACCTGTTAATTGGCAAACTCTTGACATTTCGCTTTTTTTTAAATTTTAATGTACTAAAGGCAAAAAAAATTTTAATTAATTACCTATTTTTAAGTTTTGTGACACCGGAAGGATTCGAACCTTCAACCGCCTGATTCGTAGTCAGGTACTCTATCCAGTTGAGCTACGGCGCCTCGGTACGTTTTACAACTTCCTATGTCTCTATCTATCAATGATTTACATCTTATTGATATAACAGCCTTCTACTGTTTTTTGAAATAGGCTGCAAAGATAATAGTTTTATTTGTTTCTGCAAAACATTTTTTTAAAATAAATATATAAATTTTTCTAATATCAATTTATTTTATTCGTTTTATTATCTCTTATCATTGATTAATCTTAAATATGATCTTATTCAAAATGACAATTATTTAGAACCAACGTTTATTTCTAAACCACACAATTAATAACATAGTGACTACAATCATAAAGCCCCAAATATAAAAGTAACCATAATGCCATCTTAGTTCAGGCATGTTATCAAAATTCATCCCATACACACCAACTATGAAAGTGAGCGGAATAAATACTGTAGAAATGATGGTCAATACTTTCATGACCCTGTTCATTTCATGACTCAATGAGTTGAGATAGACATCTTTCAAACTTAAATTGATCTCTCTGTAGGTTTCTACTGTCTCTAAAACTTGTATAGTGTGGTCAAGGACATCTTTGAAATATTTCTTTGTTTTTTCATCTATCAAATCATTTTCTGTGCTTATGATTCTATTTAAAACATCACGAAGCGGATAGATGTGTTTACGCAATTGCATAATGTCCTTTTTATTCTCTTGGATTTTTTCAAGATCTTGAGCTGTCGGATGATGCATGATGCCATCTTCTATTTCTTCGAGATAGTCACCTAGTTTTTCTAATATTTCGAAGTAATTATCTACTGTTACATCCAAAAGTCTATAGAAAAGATAATCTACTTCTTTTGTCCTTATGATAGAGCCATCAGTATTGAGTCGAGTCCTAATTTGATCAAACTGATCACCAGGAATTTCTTGAAAGGATAAAACCGTTTTATCTAGCAGTATAAATGATAATTGTTCTTCATCAAGGCATCTGTTTTCTTCATTCCAATTAAGTGATTTGAAGGTCATAAAAAGATACTTAGAATCTTCTTCTACTTTCGGACGCTGAAAAACATTCAGTATATCATCTTGGAATAGTGTAT